AGGAATTCGGCTGCCACCGTGGAGTCCCTGGAAGTTTGTGTATAGGTAGAATCTGCCCTCACAGGCAAGACCTTTGCTACTTGGCCCTCAAAGTTCTTTCTGAATCTGGCTTTGGGGACTCCTTGTGACACCTCCTCTCTGGCCTTCTCTCAAGCATCACTTGCACTTCCCCGTTTTTATCTTGGCATTTCTTTTATTCCTTGAACATTAGCAAATAAAATCCTATCCAGCCTTAAAAACACAATCTGTTTGAATTAATAGATTACAAATCCGTTAAGTCCAGTCTCTTGCCTTCTTTCCTTTTTGATGTGAGATTACCGAGGAGCATGATGGCTTTACCTGGCTTCAATCCATCATATCCCTGGTTGCAGCTCTTCCCTCAGGCACCTTCCAGAAGGAACTTGGAGGCGCCGTCACCTGGCTGTTAGCAGGAGGATTGCAGGGGAAGCAACCGGAGACAAAGACACATCTCCCACTCTCCAGGTGGAAGCCTGTCCGAGCAGAAGGGGATTGGGGAAAACTCAGGAGCAAAGGAGAACTGGGTTGCAGCCATACCCGGCTGGAACAGAAGGCTGCGTTTCATTAACTCAGCGTTCCTGAAAACGCCTTGCTGCCCATCGGCCTCGCCCAGGGGCTCTTTCACCACAGTCCTCACTTTTCACTGGTTTATCACTGTCTGAGCGTCTTCCCTCGGATGTAAGCCCCCGGTGGGGTGGGGGAGGGGGAGGAGGAGCCTTGTCCTCTTGGCTCCTGCTGTAGCCCTAGCCCCTAGCAAGAACCTGGCCTGTAACAGGATGCCCTCCTGGTGTCTCAAATAGATGAATGTCTGTTTACTCTACCCCCACTAATGGATTCGGGAACCTTCGCTGCCATGAGGGGTGTGTGAACCACAGCAGATGGCATCTTAGTTGCATTAATACAGACCCACTGGGGTAACAAGCTGTCTGAATGGATGAAAATTCCGCATTACCAAGGACTTCTGAGGACTGTCCGTTTATCGCCTGGAATTTTAGTTCTACTTTAATAATTAGATACGAGCATACTTTGTTTTCAAAAATGCGATTAAACACTTGCATGTGTCCACAGTCACAAATGGCCCACTGACATCCAGCTAACATGTACGGAAACCGTGGAGGGTGGTGTGGGGCCCTGGGAGTGATGTGGCTGCAGGCAGCTCAGGGCATGTGGCCCCGTCCGGAACTGAGGCTCAGTGGGGTCACGACTTCTGGTTTATGAATGTGAAATTACTGAATTCTAAGGTCGTTCTGGATCAGATAGGACATCGTGTGGGCTGCTTTGGACCACACAAGCCGCTAATCTAAAAAACAAAACCACAGATATACAGACTTGGATTAGTCACAATCCTTGCCTCATAGCATATTCAGATCATTGAGCCATGCACAGTACCTTTGTTTCTTCCCTCCTTCCTTTCCTTTGCAGGCCAGCAGTTGGCAGCCTCTGGAATACGCATGGTGTTAATTACCAGTGAGAGTTAAGTAGGTAAACAGTGTCCGTGCAGTTGCTGTCTGTGGGACAGACTAACTCGGCCAGCCTCTTCTCGGTGGTAACACAGGGCTACCATGCAGGCTCTGCAGAGGGGCTGCCTGGGTGTGTATCTAAGTTATGTGCCTAAACACAGCAAGTCACCTCATCTCCATGCGTGTTGTCGTTCTCACTGTCCAGTCGGGGTCACACCTTGTAAGGCTGTTGAAAACATCAAGGGAGACAGTCCACGCGGAAAGCACTCTGTTAACACTGGCTCTTGTTTTTACTGCTAAGGAGAGGTGGCCCTCTGTGCCGTTTCCAAACAGATAGTGATGCGCCAGTCTGTGATGAGAACTGGCGAGAGAGCCAGGAGAGACGGGGAAGCAGGAAGTGCCTTTCTGTCTCCTACAAGGCCACCATCTCTCTGATCCAGCAGGATTGTGGGTCAGGCTGAAAAGTCAAGAACAGCTTCTCCCCTGGATTCATTTTCTGTCGCCTCAGTGATTCTTTTTGCAGCCTTAGGCCAGAACTTCACCTTGAGCTTTTCACAGTCTGAGCCAGTGGTTCTCAAGCTTGGTCGCCCAGGAGAATCGCCTGGAGGGTTGGCGAAGACCCAGATTCCTGGGCCTCACTCTGTTATGGATTCAGGAGGTTAGAGGTGGAGGGCTGACACTCTGTATTTCTAACAAATCCCCTGCTGTTGATGCTGGCCCACACTGTGAGAACCACTAGACTAAGCAGTGAACTATGAAGGGGGGTGGGGGTGGGCGGGGAGACAAGGAACAGTCAGGGGAGGCTTCCTGGAGGGGATGGCCTTCAGAGTAAGCCTCAGTGTGCTAGATGAAGAGACCACAGAGGGAAGAGAGACACAGGTGTGAACGGCCAGGGTGTGCTGGGAAAGGCCGGAGAGATGATGGTGACAGGTCCCCAGGCACCAGAGGGGCAGGCCTTTGAAGGGCGGCTGAGAAGCCAGGCTCCCTCTGGCGTCCTCTGTGAATAAGGGATGGTGTGGAGCCGGGGAGCACAGCTGGCGGCAGCGTGGAGCGGGGTTTAGGGAGTCCGGTAAGAGGACAGGGTAGCAGTCCTGGGAGCAGAAAGCAGCCTTGGCCCCCTGCCCACGTGACCTCACCCTCCTTCCGAGTCTGGAGGATTTCTTGTGTGATGCTACTTTCAAAGCAGGGGTGAGACCCATGATTCCAAGGGCATGAGATGAATTAGTGGGTGTGACCAGCATTGGAAAGAAGGAATAGAAAGAGGACAGAGTGAAAAACAGAGCTCACCGCACACAGCAGGAGTATTGCTTCATCAAACCTGTGTCGGGTGTGTGCACACGCCCTGCATCACGATGTACGTGCGTTACAGTCAAAAAGGTCTGAGTCAAAGCTCCGTGCAGTCTTCCAGTTCAAGGAGCCAGCCCCGGTGTGGCCTCACCGCCCCCCACCCGCCGTGTGTACTCAGGCATATCCGACTCTCTGCGACCCCCATGGAGCCTGCCAGGTTCTTCTGTCCACGGGATTTTCCAGCCAAGAGTTCCAGGAGCAGGGGTGCCATTTCCTATTCCAGGGGATCTTCTTGGCACAGGCCTTGTCTGGGGCACATGTTGTTCAGACCCTGCCTTGAGAAGCTGACCTTCCTACAGTAGAGAAGACAGGGCCCCGCAGAACCTCAGGACAGGAAGGGCTGAGAGGAGGGTGCGGGAGGGGAGCTCAGAGAGCAAGCTCAGCCCTCTGAGGCTCCTGGGGGTGGGGGGGCAGGCATCAGCATGAAACGGGCTCTTGGGGAGGCTTCACGGAGGTGGCTTTGAGACTGACCTCAGTCAGTGGTGCAGCTCACAGCAGGGCCTTGAGGAAGAGACCCTGAAGATAAAGGCAGATATAAAGTTGCCAAGAAGCAAGGGGAACTGAACAGGGTGTGAGAAAGTAAACAGGTTTTCAAAAGTGACCTGACAGGTCCATCCACAGCTCGACAAACGACCCGGTTTCGCTCCTTTTCAGGGCTGAGTAATATGCCATCACATATACACACCACATCTTTATCCATTCCCGTCGATGGACATCTAGGTCATTTCCATGTCCTGGCTGTTGTGGCTAGTGCCGCAATGACCACTGAGGTGCACGCGTCTTTTGGAACTACGGTTTTCTCAGGGTATATATATGCCCAGTGGTGGGATTGCTGGGTTATTCAGTAGTTCTGTTTTTAGTTTAAGGAACCTCCATATTGTTCTCTGTAGTGGCTGAATCAATTTACATTCCCACCAACAGTGCAAGAGGGTTCCCTTTTCTCCACACCCTCTCCAGCATTTATTATTTGTAGATATTTTTGAGAGAATTAAAAAAAAAAAAGTAACCAGAGGCCCAAGAGAGAGCAGAGTCCAAACAGTTCGAAGAAGCTGTAAGCCAACTCATTTAAGTGACCTCTAAGGAAACTGAGGCCCAGGACCGGCCAAAGACAGTGGCCCTGAAGGCTTGTGGCCCAGGGCTCTTCCTGGCCACAGTGCATCTCCGAACACCCGCTCAGAGGTCGAACCCCACATCGTCTGCATCGGGATCAGCAGACATTGTGGGTAGCACAGTAGGTGGGAGCCCGATTGTGCCAATATCTCAGATGCTGCCGCCAGACCCTGCCCGCCCCGACCGGCGGAGAAACACCCAGGCCTGAGTTAGAAGCCCTGGAGCCGCCATGTCTGCAGATCTTTAACAAAGGAGCCTCATGATACTGCAGCTGAGTGGTAAAAAGGAAAAGTGATTTTGTCTTTTGTGGGGACTGTTCTCTACACCAGCTCCAGGACCTGCATACCAAAACCTGCCTGCTTTTAGGTCTTGATTTATTCAGATGGTCTCATTTTACACATTAGGAAACAGTTCCAGAGAAGCTGTGATTTTAATGTCAGTAAGAACAGAAGCCAGGAGGGTGGCTTACACCAGGCTGTGGCTTTAAGGTCCTCATCGGAGGTTCTGTCTGGTGTGAGAACTAGCTTTGTACTTTTCAGCAATTCCGTCACACAGAATTGTCTTTGATATTATTTTCTATCTGATAAATACCTTTGTTCTCTTGAAAGGAAACTTTCCATGTCTAAGAAATTGCTCAAAAAGTCTTTTTTTTTTTAATAAAGAAAACAAAGTTTTAAAAATAACATGTGAAAAACCCCACGTCACTTTGGTCATCTTTTCTTCAACTGATTTAAAGGCACTGAGGCCAAGTTTGTGCCTCAGGACAGATATATACACACACACACACACACCTTGGGCACCCACTGTGGTACAACTAACGGCAGTGTCTTTTTACGCTATATTCGTATATGACATCGACAATCACGTCTCATTTCCTCTCATCCACCTTGATTGAGGCAAAGAGAGGATCAACAGCCAACGCTGTTGTGAATATCCATCTGGAAATGGTCATTATTGCAGCATCATATTCGTTCTTTCACTTGTCATGTACCATTAGCAGGTAACAAGATCACTGTGGGTCTAAGACTGTGGAGATAATTAGAGCAGCTATAGGTTAGCAGGAAATCAAGTTGTGCTGGTACCAATCAGTGCTGGGGAGCAGACGCAATTAGAGGGAAAATCTGTAAAGGTCTTGAGAGGAATAAGGCCCGGGGGATTCAGTACCGTGACTGACTTGACAGTAACTTCCGGTCTCGCATTGCAAATAGTGGCCTGGAAAAGAGTGGGAGAGCGGGAGTGGGGTGGTCTGCCAGCAAGGCCAGGGATGGTGCGTGTTTGGAAGGTCTCAAGAACTGCCTGATTTGGAGTAACAGTGGTTATCATGTTTTCGAATCTACTAGCCTTTCTTCAAGTTATTTTCTCCAGTCTGGGAGCTGGGTATTAGCATAAGAGCAGGGTAAAGGGGGCGGCCTTCATTCAAGCCCAGCATCAGCTTTCCAAGCCTGGGAGTCTGGTGCCCCCAACCAGCCGTCTTCCAGAGCCCCCTGTGCCAACGCCACCCGCCTCTGCCCGTGAGGCTGCAGGTGTCCTCAGCCCAGACCCCCAGCCCCCCTTTTCTAATTCTCCCAACAGCAGCCACCCACATCCTGCTAAGGCCGGCCTGCCTTTGTTTCCTCCAGTTAAGACACAAACACTCATCATCCATCATATGGACACCAGGAAATTTAACAGATTTTACATCTTGAAAAGACAAAACAGATTTTAGAGGGTGAGGGAGAGATCTGCAAGCTGATGAGGGTTATGCCAGGTAATTCAACAAAACACAGGAAAAGACAGGGACATACCTGGAAGGCCTGAAGTAACGCACAACAGACCGAGCCCACAGACTGCAACGTGAAGAACAGGCACACGCCGGCTGTCGGCAGAGGCGCTCGATCAGATGGCATCAACGCAGACGAACCACACGCTGAGATCTGAAGGACGTGCGGGACACAGAGGGCGCTGGCTAACTCGGCCTGCATATACATCCCCTACGACATCCGAAATTCCCTTCCCAGGACTCAGCTTAGAACATACAATCAAAACAAACCAAGCACTCCTGACTGTTCGGAGGGCAGACATTTACAGAGACTAACCGGCAGAGGCCGCGTGGGTCAGAGAGGGCGGCCAGCCTTCCGTCCTCACTCAAGGGTTCGAGGCGCTTCTCTGCTTCCAGGGCCTGGGCTGTCTTGCAGGCTCGGCTTCTTCCCTAGGTAAGGATGGCCACCCCACACAAACAGGCAGCTGGAAGCTTGGTTCACATTTTTTAATAACATGGCACAGTTTACATAACACAAGAAGGCTCCGCCGATGAGAACATGCTGAAGACCCAAGTCGCTCCGCGTTTCTTTTCACACAGGATCTAGAAAGGACTTTATTACATACAGGAGGAACGGCAAAAAGGTCTGTACAGAACAATCTCTTTACAATACTGAAGCTACCACTACGGTTCCAGTGTACATATTCCTTGGATTTTTTTTTTCCTTTTTAGTTGTTGTCTTAAAAAAAAAAAAAACACTGCACAACATTTGGAATTCACAAAATCTGAAGCTCACAACTAAACCTTCAGTTGACTACTAAAATAGATCTCTCTGCTTATTAGAAACAATGGTCTGTAGTTAACTTTTTTTTTTTGCAAAAACAGGATAACAACGTCAGATAGCACTTTAATATACTAGAAGACCAAATGGAACTAATTTTATTTCATACATATATTTTACAGTCCAGTAGACAAGATATATTGTATCTCTGCTAGTAAAGTCATATTCTCTCCAAATTAGGTAGACAAGAGGCTGACTGTATGATAAAAGTATCATGAAGAGACAGTAAGATTGATGCAAAACTCAAAAACACACGCACACACAAGACCATCTCTCTGCCTGCCACCTTTCGCCCTCTGCAGCGCTCCCTGGCCCCACAAAGCTGACCTGCTTCGGCTCCTCCTGGACTTGGTTACCGACGGGAACACGGTGAGTCATGCTAGGGAACGTGCTCCTGAACTTCATCAGTTATTGAATACAGTGAAAACATATCCATCATCTGAGAAAACTCGAAGCTTTCTTTCAGGATCTGTTTGGGTGCAACTGAATCTCATTACAGAACGAGGAGGGGTGTACAGATAGGAAACAGGACGCACTGAAAAACGCATGGTTCCCACAGGAGGGGTGTGTGAAGTCACGTGACGGATGGTGATGAGGTGCTGGCGGCCTGTTTGTGTCCCCTGATTTTGGCATCTGACCACTCCCATCCTCCCCGGCACTGCACTCTCCTCTCCCCACCCCTACATGCACCCAAGGCCCACAAGCAGCAACTTCAGATGCAAAGTTTCAGCCTGGGGGTCCAATTTGCAAAATCAGGTGTTATTCTCCATTTGAAAAAACAAGCAAGGAAAACAGTCTTATCACGTTAAGTGCTTGTTCAGGGAAAATATGACCTTAAGTATGTTGTAAATGGACTTGAAAAGGCTCCTTTGAGTTAGGCGGGCTTTTGTGAAAAGCCCTAACATTCATTGCATAGTTGAAGGGTTTAGCTGTCTAGAACAATACATGGGGAACACAGCCAAAGCTGGCTGTGCTTGCTGATATTAAGTCTGCAAATAGCACATTTTAAGAAGTATTAATGTATTATGTTACTTAATCTTTATCTATTTACATCTGTACAAAGTAAAGCTTTCATCTTACCCTTCTGCATATATGAACCATTAGCTCATGAAGCAACAAGCCCCCCCCACCTTTTTTTCTTTACATAACTATGTACACGGCCTTCCCTTCTCACCCCAAAGAGCTCTCTGCATGATGGATAGTGTGGACTCTTGTCTGCTTCCCCCCACCCCCCCAATGATCACCGTGTCGGTGTGTGTGTTGTCATCTTAACTGTTTTGGTTCAAATCAAAAAAAGTTTTATATGACAAACCAAAAGAGTGGGGAGACGTGAGAACGTATGAATCAGCTAAAAGATTTGAAAAATTTCAACAGAGAATATACAAAAAACATTTCAAAATCTGCACCGAGTCTATACATTTTTTTTTTTAAGGTGGCCGTCCAGGGAGGCGGGGTGCACGGGGTGCAGGCGCGGGTGCTCGTAGTCCTCGCGGAGCACGTGCAGGCGCTCACGCTCGTCCAGGTGCGCCCCGCGCTCGTGCTCCCGCCTCGCGTCCACCGCCAGCGGGGGGTGGTGGTGGTGGTGGTGGTGGTGGCTGTAGTCGTGTGGCTCCCGGTCCCGGAAGGCGCGCTCGGCCTCGTACAGCCGCGGGGCCGAGAGCCGGTGCAGAGGGTCGCTCCTCAGCAGGAAGTCCCTGCCCAGCGGGTCTCTGCGGTGCATGTCCAGTTCCCGGTAAGGGTCCCTTAGGGGGTCCCGGATGGGGTCCCAGTGGAAGGAAGGGTACGGGAAGCGCTCCCCTCCCGGGATGGGGCTGAGGCCCATGAAGGGCGTCATCATGCGAGTCCTGTCCAGGCCGCCGATGCTGTTCATGGGGTGGATCCCGGGCATCCCCACGGCCACGGGCATGGAGGCCAGGGGCCCCGGGTGCACGCCGGCCGAGGAGCTGGGCGGCGGCGGCGGGGGCGGCGGCTCCGAGGACCGGTGGGTCGGAGGGGCCTCGGGGGGCAGGTCGTGGTCCTCCTTGCGCTCCTCCTTGACACGGCGCGGCCCTCGTGGCCGTGGCCGTCCTTCTCGGCCAGGGGGCCCTCCTTCGCCTTGTGCTCGTCGGCGCCCAGGTCCTTGCGCGATTCTGAGTGCTCCCGCTCCCTGTCCTTGCACTTGTCTTTCTCGCGAGCCTCGGTGCTCAAATGCCCCCTGATCTGCTCGCCGGAGCTGCGGCCGTGTCCCAGGGTGCTCACCGGGAGGACGGGGGCTGGAGAGGGGTGGCTGGAGTGTCTCTTCTCGACGCTTTCCCTGCGGAGGAGACGAGACATGGGGAGGCAGGTGAGCTGGGCTGCTGGCCGCCTGATGAGATGGCTGAACGGGCCGGGCAGGGCTCAGCTCCCTCGGTCCCCGGGATGGCCGCCGTGCCCGAGGTGCGGCCCATCCGGCCACCTTGACCTGACTGGCCTAGACTCCAGAGGAGGCTTGAGGGGGTGAAGCCCGAGGGATGCGGGGTGGGAGAGTGTGAGGGGGCGTAACTCTGTGTATGTAAGAGGCACCGACCTGAATCAAGACCAGGAGAAAGGACTTTCAGAAACCTGAAGGGACCAGGGAGGTCAGTGATGGGGCCATGCGGCCGCCTGTCTCAATTCTCAGGATCCAGAATCAAGTTCCAACACTGCAATTCTGAGCCAGCCGGAGAGCACAAGCTGAGGATCATGGGAAAATCTCTCTCCTGACAGCAGGAGGAAGGGCTGGTTTCAGAGTAAAGGCAGCAGGTACAGGGCAACCAAGATGCAGCCCCAAGGGGCTCGAAAGGAAACCAGTTTCACAACGCTGGGGTCGCACAAAGCACCTCTGCCTTAGGAAAGAGAAGCCGGGATCTGACACCAGAAGAAGCAGCAGGTCCAGAGACATGAAAGCTAAGGGGCTGGTGGGGAGTCAGTTCCAATCTGTGAATGGAAGTGTGGAAGGAGAACTTGAGAGGCCTGTCTTGGGTGGGGTTTAAGAATACAGGACACACAATGGGAGGCGACAGAGGAAAGTGAGGGAGAACATGGCGAGCTGAGACCAGGAATCTGGGTGTTTTAGGGATGGCCTGCGACAGGAAGTGGGGGAAAGCAAGATGCCTGGGGGGCCCAGAGGGTGAGGGTGCCCCGCAGAGAGAACTCAGGCTGCCCTGACAAGTTTTTGTTTCTAGACAATGTACAGAGGCTAAGATGACGACCATCTTTAAGAGGTAAGAATAAAGAAAAGTGTATTTGAATTTCCTAACTTGCATCCAAAAGGCCATTGTGAGTCCATCTAGAGCAGGTGTTCCCCCCCACCCCCAGCCAGGAATTGGCACCCGTCTATCTGTGGCCTGTTAGGAACAGGGTGGCATAGCAGGAGGTGAGTAGCAGACAAAACTGAGGCCCTCTCTGCCTGCTTGCCCCCGGGACCACAGAAAAGCTGTCTTCCACAAAATTGGTCCCTCGTGCCAAAGACACTGGGGACCACTCATCTAGAGAGCTCCTGGTCTAGGGGCGGCCCCTCCAGGGGCACCTGCTCTGGCAGCTCAGAGCTGTATGTCATGTCCTAAATGGCCCTCCCATTGGCTGGGAGATTTTTACCATGCTGTCCTGAGGAAAAAACTCACTTTATAAGAAAGAAATCTCTTACTTAGCATGATGGCCTATGATGCAATAGCTACTTAACCTGCTGCATTTAGAGCCTCCAAAGTTAAAATTCTTTTAGATTGCTATGAAACACATACATATACACACACATACATGCACACAACACACAGTCAATAAAAACAAAAGATTTGGATCGTACTGGAGACTTAAGGTCCAAAAGGGAAATGTTATTAAGTATTTTCTGTCAGGTGTATCTCGTGTAGTCCTTGCTAGTTCCTTCAACATGAAAATACCAAGAAAGGGAGGCAGGCAGGAGGAAGGCCCTGGCAAGAATGCTTATGACATTCTTCAGAAAAAATACTCTTTTCTTTTTGAGGCACGGACTACCACGTAAGGAGATAAAAACGGTTAGTAAAATGAGTTATCCACTGGTGACAGGAAACCCAAATTGCCTGGTGAGGTTTCTTTCAATCTGGGTTAGCAAAAGCTTAGCGGTCATCTGTGAGCCCAGGATTTGAGTTTGAACAAAATTTGAGAAAAATATGATGAGACGATGCAAAACATGGCTTTCTAACAGAAAACAAAAAGAAAAGGGGGAGAGAAAGAGAGAGAGCAAAAAACCTATGGATGAGTCAATGGACTGCACGAACTTGAAAGCAAATATGGTGTTGATTCATGCCGTGTGTGTCTGGTCCAGGCTCCAACTCACTACCTTTTCGAGAGCGGTTTCTGTTTGGAGACACTAGGGCTCGCAGGGGGCTGGGTGTGGACACTGCTGCTGAGCCGGGACTCGCTCGCTTTGTATTGGACCTAGAATTGCGATGCTGGCCTGTGGTTGAGGCCCGGCGGGCTGGAGGGAGAAGGGTCTCTGGGCTCAGGGCATGGTGGTGGCGGTGGGAAGGAGGGTCGGGGGCGCCGTCCCGGCTGCGTGAGGGGCCGGGGCTACAGCTGAAGCTCAAGGCTGGGCTGGGGGGGATGGTGGGGGGCCGGTACTTGGCACAGAGGGGGCTCCCCCATCGGGACTCGAGAGCGGGTTCTTTGCGTACCTTTCTTTGTCATCTTTACTAACGGAGGAGTCTCGTTTATCTACATCTCTATCTCTGTCATGAGCTGCAGCGGACGCGCTACGCTCCAGCTCCCCTGGCTTCAGCCAGGGCGGAGGGGTCGGGAACGACGGAGGCGTTCGGTGCAGCCGGTTCCAGGGCTCGTGAGGGTTGCTAAAGCTCTGCACACTGGGGCCATCCTTGTGGCCGAACACTGAGTTGGGTGCTGAAATGGTGAAGTGGAGAACAAAAAAGGTTTCAGAGAAATTATATAATCCGCCGTAATGAAGGTACTTACCAAAAAACTTTTAACAGCATTCAGAGTTAAAATGAATACATATTATTGGGAGCTGGAAAAGGAAAGGAGATTAACAGATTCATTAGAGGAACGCGTCCTACACTGGAGAGGTTAAGTAAGCTCACAGCTTTTCTTTTTTTTTTTTTTTTTACCCAAAGGCAAAGGGGCAGACGGGGGTGGAGAGGGGGAGATTAGAAAGGAAAGGGTCTCAGCATCACTGGCTCACACCTGTCAGGCGCACGTAGAGGTCCCGAGCATGCAGGAGGGTGGATGTGGATGCTGTGACTTGGGTTAACAGCTCAGTTCAGAGGAGAATCTGTGGTTCTTTTCTGCCCACCACGACCCTGTTTATATAACACAACTGCTGCCCTGTCCACAACCTCAGTGACTGAAACCAGCATCAGCAGAAGCCAGAGTCCTAATCTAAACAGACACGGAGGGTCTCCAGGCTCCATGGACCTGGGATGGACCTGCCTCCTAAGTCTCCTGCAATGGAGGGCAGGACGTGTGGACAAGACACGCTGATGCTGAGTGCATAAAGGGTGTTTAGGCAGACTTCTTTTCTCTGTAAAGTCTTTACGGAATTTGTTACAATGCTGTTTCTGCTTTATGTTTTGATGTCTGTCCCACCAGGTATTGACTCCAAACCCGCCGCTGCATTGGAAGGTGACGTCTTAGCCACTGGATTACCCTTGACTTCTCAGTGGTGGAAAATGACAGTCTTCCTCGATGTTGCCCTCTCTGGACTGTTCGGAGCCTGTTTCCTATTCTTCAGTGTGTTTTCTCACTTCCACCAAAGCAAGATGAAATTTAAAAGCTGTCTTCACGTCTAACGGGGTGGCTGGTGGTAGTGGTGCAGTCGCTATGTTGTGTCTGACTCTGCCACCCTGTGGACCGTAGCCCACCAGGCTCCTCCGTCCATGGGATTCTCCAGGCCAGAATACCGGAGTGGGTGGCCATTCCCTTCTCCAGGGGATCTTTCCCACCCAGGGATCAAACCCGGGTCTCCTGCACTGCAGGAAGATTCTTTACCACCAAGCCACCAGGGAAGCCCATGTCTAATGAGCGCTGTGGCTAAAATCGGAGTGGGTAGAGATGGAATAGGATGAAATTATGAACTTTAGCAAACTCTGTGGCGTTCAACTGACTACCTTTCCTGACCTTCAGGAGCATAGATCGACAGCGGGCTGGAGGTTGGTTTAGACCTAACTGCACCGACTGGGCTTGCTTTGGCAAGGATATAACCTCAATTTGTTTCCCAAAAGCGTGGTTTCCTTTCATCTAGAATGTCATCGAGCCATTGACAGATCAGAGGAGATAGTTTAAGGCAGATGATAAAAATTTAGAGGTACTCACTAACTGAAGGATTTCCAAGTCCCCCGAAGGCATTGCCACCAACCGCTGCCAGGCCCGTGAACGTAGACGGCCGATTAAAAGGCTCTGCAGACGAGATTGGGAAGAAGGGCAAGGTTGTAGGGCTCTGCTGAGTGAGGCAGAGAAGGTTCCTGGGAAGGCAGTGGGGGCCCCTTGCCACATGTATACTCAGACCTGATCTGTCTCACTTCTCCCACCAGATTATGCAAAGGGTTTTTCGTCCTTTTGGATGTGGGCACTGGGTTAGCTATTTCCAGGGACTGTGCCGCGTACACGTGAGATCCTAGTTCCCTGACCAGCGATCACGCCCGTGCCCTGCTCCTTGGAGTCTTGACCACGGGCCCATCAGGGAAGTCCCCCCACCTCTCTCCTGCTGGTGGGGAACATTACTCAAGCCACAGGGTGCTCACATGTCTCCCTGCCCATCTCTCCTCCTCTCAGGGACAGAGGTTAAGATGGCAGCTTAAAATCTCCTAATGGAACGCTGAGGTCACACGTACCCTACACCCTGTGGTCGGGCATACCCTTGCCCACATGTGCTGGTGCACGTGTGAAAATACCAAATAAATAAAGGCCACGAATAAAGCCCCTTTCTTAGGAAGAGCTCTATGAATTGGGCTGTGAAGTGATTAAAAAATAACAGATACTATCTCTACATAACATCAAGGTGTCTTTCTCTCTACCTCCAGGGGTGCCCTTTCATGGGCAAGAGTTCACCGTCTTCTCCGGTCAGTGGGGACAGGCTGCTGTAGATGGGGATTCCCTGAGATCCCAGGGCTTTCACCCTCTGCACCCCGAGTAACCCCACAGAGAACCCCACTGCACACGGATCTCCTACTTGCAGAGCCCGGTGTAAGAGGCGCTGAACTCCTAGAGAGGGATGGCTTGGATTCAAACATCTCTGAGGTCACCTCCACCTCCTGACGGTAAGTGACGTACCGTCACTTAGATTAAAAGGCTCTGCAGATGAGAGTCCTATGTAGGACTATGGCCTGCTAGCCAGGAAGTGCAGCAGGAACGCAAGTTTTCTGAGACACACACGTCAGTGCCCGTGCATGACGGACACAACTCACCGAGGTGGGCCGCGGGGTTCAGAAAGTTGCTATGATGGGGGGGCGGCCCAAACGGGGTCCCAGGTGGGTGTGCAGCGCCTGGGGGTCAAACAATGGAGTTAGCTTTCAGAGGAAGCCCACGTCTGGTGCTGGCCAAAAGGTTCATTTGGATTTTTCCGTATACTTTTACGGGAAAACCTGAACGAGTTTTTTGGCCAACCCAATACAACGCCACTGGCTCCTGGTCCCCTAAGACCCCCTGCAGGGAGTATGTTAAAGAACACAGCTGAAGTCCACCCAGGCAACACTCGGAGACAGAGACACGTGCCTGTCAGGGGCAGAAAGGAATTCAACCCCTCTTCTCTTTCCTGGCTGGGCTGCCCACTACCGAAAAGAGGTCTTCCTTTCTGAAGACGCCGATGCACAGCACCGCAAATGTGGACAAACCACCAGTGGGGCAGGCGGTTCTACTGCCGCCTGAGTCTGGAGAAATGCCGGGTTAAAACCGGGAAGCAAGGTTCTTTACTGACGGACTAGGAGCTGTGACCACATGCCCTCCATCTCTCCAGGGGCAGCATCTGGCCTCGGGCTCCCTTCTTCAGAGACACCTCTTGGGGGGTGAGACTTTCACTCTGAGAGACACCGTCTAATCTGGGCGCAGGAGCGGCCAGCACAGAGCTGGACTCCGGGCTGCGCTGCTTGGGCTTCTGCACAATCCCTTTTCCTGAGAACGTGTTAGCTGTCACGGACCTGCATGGAAGGAGAGGCCAAAGCTGGACCCTGTGAAACGCACTGTGAGTTATGTCAGGTTGTGGGAGACGGAGGCCTCCAGCCTCCCCATCTTCAGTGCCGGGAAAAGCCAGTTTCTTCACGTGCTCTTGGACACCGATCACCCTGCAGCCCTGTTACTCTTTACTTCGCCTGCCAGGGAACTCGGGTCTACCTCAGCGTCTTTCCTTTGGTTTCCCTTTCCTCTCCTTTATGCCTGGCCTCCATCCTCTGTTGCTGTTGTTTACTCGCCAAGTCGTGTCCGACTCTTTGCAACCCCACGCACTGCAGCCTGACCAGGTTCCTCTGTCCATGAGATTCTCCAGGCAGGAAGAGTGGAGTGGGTTTAGTCATTTCCTCCTCCAGGGGATCTTCCTGACCCAGGGATCAAACCCAGGCGGATTACTTATCACTGAGCCACATGGGAAGCCCCATGTACTTCCTTAGGAAGCCTCAAATCCTTCTTTTGAAGGAAGAGAAAGACAGTGTGCACATGTGCATTAGGGAAGGATGATATTTCCAAAAGCTGAGGGCCTCCACCTGGCGTGTGTGTCGATGGGCAGCTAAGGAGGCAAGTTCTCTAGAAGGCAGGCCTGGCTCGAGACGAGAGGTAGGCCAAGGTCATCTGAAGAAGCCCCCTTAGTTTACTTCAGGCACTAGTGCCCAACAGCAAGATCAAAGTGGCTGAATTTTATACTTACCAGTTGAAAGTTTCACCAAATACCCATTTTGGGAAAACTTCAATAGAAGATTACCCTCCAGAATGGAAGTATAAACAGGGTCGGAATAGATTTACTAGTAACTGTTCCAAGAATCCCTTGCATTTTGACTACGTTCCTAGAAGCCAAGTATAAATTCCTTCAGGAACGTAGATTAAGTGGAGGAGAGTTGATCCTTCAACACCCTATTAATTTATGTTCCGGGATTTTCTTCCCCAGCCTGGAAGGGTCCTGGAGGAAAGCACACAGCAGAGAACAGAGCCACAGCATCTCGGCATCAGAAGGCACCTGCGGAGTCCTCTGTTCAGCCCTCAGTGGTGATGTATTCTCCACTCAGAAAGTGCGAGCATGACACCCACCTCCACACAGTGAACACAGCCCAGCGTGTTCATTAGCCCTTAACAGTGTTGCCAGCTAAATAACAATTTGGCTGCACACTGTCTGTGTAGTACAAGCTAATTAATGCTTTGAAGAAAATCAGAGCTTTGCTCAGTGCAGGGTCCCCAGGGATGCCCCAGAGTTCCAGAATTATCAAAGCAAAAGCAGCCAACTTGTCTGCTGGGCTAAAATGGAAGCCAGGGAGAAACCTCTCTGTTTCTGTCCAAAAACTGTTCTTCATGTAGCCCTGTCTCAGTGCCTAGATGCCATGGTAACCTAGCCTTTGAAGCTATCCCTCAAAAGAAATGACAGAAACCTAAGACCTTAGCAAATTCCATCTGCCCTCAAGGGTAGGGTCCCCTTGCTTTGGGGACAAGGCCCAGTAGAATGATGGGCTCTTGGAGTGTGTGGGTTATTTCTTTCTTCCTGAACAGAAGAGCCTTGGGTCCACCAAAAATGAGTCTTGGATAAAAGCCTAGGAAGGCAGCAGGCAGGATGGATGTGAAACTTACTCGCTAAGGACTAGAAACAGGGAGCCGCTTGAATATGCATGTCCAGGGCAAGAAATCTATCCTGCGTAGTGGGTAGGAGGTGATGGGGCCAACCATTAGGATGCGCTCAGCACTGTCACTTAAGATCACGACCCAGGGTAGCCCTGGGCCAGGCACCGTGCGCTGAAGGTAGTTTTAGGAAAGACTTTGATAGCAGTAGGGTGGCTCTTGTCTATCTATTACTCCTGATGGCCGCTGCCTCCGTCTGCAGTTCCTGGGGCAGGACTGGGCAGGGACCTGATGCAGGGACGATCAGGGACCACTCTGACACACCCAAGAGGCACCTGGGAGTGTGTGATCTCAGAGGTTAATACATGATCTCTTGTCCCCTAAATCTCCTGCATCATTACAACCAACCAGGCAAGAATGTTAAGTTCTGTAGCAGAGAAAACCAGCCACCAACTAATTCACGCTCTCTGACACCACACCAGTGGCAGCTACCTTCACTTGTATGTTTATCCTCAGACCCTCAGAGGGCATAACCGAGCACTGCAGTGCGAAACCCCCGACTGCTCTGTGGGCAGGGAAAGTGGCATTGTTTCCTTCCCAGTTACCCTCGCGAGCTCTCTTGATCTTTCTCAGTAGCATCTGACACTTATGAGTTACAGTGGTTTAGTAGAGAAGCAAATAACAAGCTGAAGAAACACGAGTCCCTGAAGGGAGACAGGGTCTTTCTCCTTCTCTCGTGGAGGTGGAGCATCCATGGAGAACACTCCATCTCCGGTAATGTGCTGTGATGCTACCTTGCAAACTGGCATCACATGCTGTTTTGGGGGAGTGACTGTGAATAGCAGCCCAGAGTTCAGACATCACTCATCTAGCTACCCGAGAGCTACCACTCCCAGCTCACCCCTGCCCCTCCGAACTTACCAGCGGCAGAGAACAAANCACCCCTGCCCCTCTGAACTTACCAGCGGCAGAGAACAAAGTTGAAGGCCGTGCCAGGTCGTGGGGGTGGTGGATGGCTCCAAAGAGGCTGGGGCCTGGAGGACGGCTCAGGAACTCAGGCTTCAGGCCAAAGTCCAGCTTGTGTGGATCCGACTGCATCTGCTTCTACAGCACCAAGGGAGGGTGCGGGGAGGAAAGGATGGAAGCCCAAGAGAAACAGTAGGGAAGAAAGATATTAATGAGGAGACTGAGAGTCAACTCTGCATAGTGCATTCGGGCTAGGGGCCATCGGTCAGCTTCAGGTCTACACCTGCTGGGAGAACATAGCAACCCACAAACTATGTAACCCTCAAATGCCAGAAAAGCAGGTCTGCCTCAGAGGGGCCTGTGGCTCGCAGCAGAAATGTCGAGGGGCAAAACTCATGCTCTGTCTTTGAGGTTACACGGTTTGAGACTTAGAACCATATCCTAGCTCCTTGAACCACCACCGTTCCTAAGTAGTTTCTGATTTGCTGCAAAGGTTCATTTTAGCAAGTTTTTAAATGATAGTATTTTAAAGCTCATTTTATTGGGAATTCTGCATGAATAATCTGCTGTGTAAATTAATTGTTTAATGACTCTTTGCTGTGCTCTAATAGATCACAGTACATTAGTAGCTGAAAGTTATGAAGAAATATTTGCATGCCTACAAGCTAATTTCAAATGATCGTTGTTACATTATTTTTAAAGAAACAAACAGAAACCAAGTAGGGATATTAATGTGACTAATAGGGGCTTTGGGCACAGTAACCCCAATCATCTGAGGAACAGCTCAGGCCAGACCAGTGAGCCTTCCAGAACCTCTCTTGCTGTGAAGTCCTTTCTGTCAATTGCAATCACTCTATTTCCTCCTATCAGTATATCCACCCCCGAGCTCACCTTTCTTGGAGACTGTAGAAACTGGCTCCCAGTCTTCCCCCTGCTTCCTTCCCTGGCCTCACTCTGGACGCTGGCAGCCTCTCCTAGAGCATGGGTCCAGGCTGCCCCCACCTTCGTGATTCTCAATAGCCTTCTCTGTATTGGCCTCACACCTCCCCTGATAAGCGCCGATCCCTGACCCGGGTCTGAGGCTCCCAGTCTCCCGCTGCCTCGCCTTCTCTCTGAGCTCTCCAGCCTCCCAGGCCTTCCCCACTTTCTGACCCTCACCCTTCCCATCTCAGACTCATCGGATGCTGTCTGTCCTTTGGCCCCGCTCCGCCCAACTCCATCAGGCTCTGCCACAAGTAAATCCCTGTCCTAGCACGCAAAAACATCAACACAGAGGCATCAGATCTGACTTGTGTGAGGATCGGAGACGAGAGGGTTTGCCATCCCCTGGAGGCTGAACCCTACTGTCCTGCAATCCCACTCATCCCTTTTACCCACCCAGACCCCTCGAGCCAGTAGCAACACCCCGGGAGGCAGACAGCACATTCTCCATTTTTCCTGCACACACTACTGAACTCTGAGCAACAAGACTCCAGAAGAGAGTCCAGCCTTGAGCTTGCAGCAGTAAGAACCTGCGGGTGCTGGGCTTTCCCTAGAAGTAGCTGGTGAGCGGCTAGAAGAACAAGTAAAATGAACATCACAGAGAAAGAGGACCAGGCCATTTCTGCTCTGATCTACAAGGAATTCTCTCATGAAAGTCCCACTATCAAGCAGTAGCCATTCCCCCCTCCCCAAAGCTGCTAATCCACTATGAATCTATAAAAATCTTCTGGCTGCCTCCTTTAATTTGGTTGCCAAATTATTCAGTGCTAATACTCCATGGTACACAGCACAGTTCCATTAACCACAACTTAGGTCCATGAAGCAAAATGGAGCTTGGGGATTACAGAGAATGTGCTGGAAAGGGAAGATGAACAGTTATCTCCTGTGCAAGAGGTCTTCCTAATTGAATTGGGATAATGAACGCTGGAGTCGCTGGGGACGTTCTCGGGGAAAGGAAGATGCTGAAGTGATGCCTATAACATCCTTCATCGCTTTTAATCAAAGAAGTTACAAGGAGGATGTGTTTTACCCACCGTTCCACTAACCACGTCATCTAGAACAAAAGTGAAATCTAGTTAGCTCTTTCAAGTACACGTATTTTTTTCAACGAAGCTAAACCACAAGGTTTCTAATTAAACCTCACCTAACACTAACGTCAAGGAGAACAAAACTCACCGATGGGAGATTCTGAGAAAGAGGAGGTATTTGGCACCAAAGCAAGATATCTTTGCAACCTCATTCACTGAGGGTGACTTTCACTTCTAACTATGTTGGGTTTTTAAAAATTATTTAACCATTAAAAAAAACCCTTGAGATGACTATCTCTTCTGACTTCTTTTTATAATCTGATCATGGCCCACCACATGCTGTTGGGACTAAAATCTTGTTCATGAAAAAATAGCTTCCAATGGAAGGTTATTGGAATTACTTAACTGGTACAGTTACACAGATTGTAAACACCCAGACTGTAAAATCTGGATCTGTACCTTACTTTGGTGCCTAAGTTGACCAGTGATGTCCTATCTGGTCACCTGCAGAAGATCTGCATCTCTCTCTTGTATCATCATCAAACCCTGGTAAAGCATGGAACCTATTCATCTATCTGATGAAAACATAAAGCAAATCCTCCTGAGTTCAGATAGGGTAACCAGCAGTCAGTGGTTCCAACAAGCACTGACTGTCATCGGACTTCTGGCATTGGCCATCGAGAGGATGAAGGAGAGATTGGATAGGTCACTGCCAACCAAATACCACTTTAGAAGAGGAATTTAGAACACTGAATTGCTAATGGACGTACCATATACGCCTAAATCAGTAACGTCATATAGGGCATAAATTATCACTTTTCAAAGCCATAAGATGAATAACAATAAGGTCCTATTGTGTAACACAGGGAACTATACTCACTATCCTGTATAAACCATGATGGAAAAGGGAAAAATTTTTCTAAATGTTGGGGGGGTGGGAAGAATATACCAACTTCTATAGAGAACTTTTCATGTACACCTCCTCTTAGATCCTAAGTATTTCCCATACTAATAATACTTGGTCACTCTAATTAGATTCCTCAAACCTTTATTTCAGGATTTCATCTATATTTAAGCTCTTTGGATCAATAAGATGACAAAATCATTAAAAAAACCCCAAACCATCAGGATATTATCAGTGTGCTTCTGTTTTGTTACTTTGCTGCTGCTTTCCCTAATTAATAGTAAGATTTCTGAATAGCTTTTCCAAGGGACCTGATCCTGCCTGCCTGTGGGTCTTCAGACTGTTTCATTGCTTTCTCGATCAGGAGATCACACACCCAGAGCCCACCTCCCCCCAAGACTGGGCAGGCGGGACTGACCTTGACTTTCTGTTGGTGGTGGTAGATCTGCCAGGCAATGTGAACGTGCATCGCGCACCACTTTCCTGGTTTCTGGAACAAAAAAGAGCGACGTGGTCAGAAGGAAGACTTTCAGGGAAAAAAAAAACCCCACACAACCCTTCCATTTCCCCAGAGCTGTCAGCAGATTTTGGCTGCAGAAGCTTTCTTTTCCATGAAACAAGAGGGCTTTGTCCCCTCCAAGCGCCTTTTCTCCGCTGCAGCCCGGGACCCAGGCCGGAGGAAGCCCCCCCTGGGTGGGTGGCATGTCTCCTCCCACAAGAGCCCGAGCTGGCGGCCACTCCTCAGAAAACCAGCCCTAAGCAGGACCTCCCCGGTTACCAAGGATAACGTGGCAAAACCCGAACCCCACTCTGTGCCTCCTCTGTCTCTTTTTTGGCGCCAGCTGGCAGGCCTGGTGGAGCGAAGCCCTGTTGAACAAATGTGGCCAGGCTATATAATGCAGATTGGCTGTTCAGAAGAGCTAATTAGTGAATGTCTGTGAACCAGTTTGAAAACGAGAGGGGAGAGAACCTGTGTCACCTCCCCCAACACTGTTTTTAAAAAAACGAAAGCAGAACAAAGAAAGCCAACACATTCTCAGTGAAGCCCAGTTCCTGAAGTGCTTCACTAAGAATCAACTGCCATTCATGTTGGGCGGCACTGTTCATTTCCAAGCAGAAAACAGAACAGAAAGAGATGAGAACTCACGCCTTTCCTCCTCTCTCGGCCTCTGCAGAGACTGAGTGCCTGTCCCGCCCTCTGGGAGGACGTCAACTCCTATGTCCAGCTGGTTCCTGTCTTGCTTTCTAGGCTGGGGAGTAGCCGCGAGTCTGTCTCGCAGACTCACCCGAGGGGGCAGGACCGCCTTGTCCCACTTCACTTGTGTTCCTGCTACACGGTCTACCCACTGGCATCATCGACTCAATGGACATGAGTCTGAGCCAACTCTGGGAGGCAGTGAAGGACAGGGAAGCCCGGCCCCCGCAAGCCAAGCCGGTGCAAAAAAGCCGAAAACCCCGAACCAACGAAAAAAAACCCAACCGTGAGCTCCAAACACGTGCTCAGTAACCACAGGATGCATGAGAAGAAACACGGCCCCGTTCCTACACGGGCAAAGAGCAGATGCGTCTGGTGTCTATATTAAGGCACTGTTTCTGAACATTAAGTCACTTTCACTTGTGAAATATATACTTAAATCCAAGTTTGAGCTCAGCTCTCTTGTAATGAAGTTATGAGTCGTCTGAAATCACCTAAGTGATGACACCATCCTTTCTCCCCCTTTGGAGAAATTGAATTATCTGAATAGATGCACTAGAAAACGGTTAAATAGAGAAATCCACTATCCATCCCTCTTCATCCGCCATCCCTCACCACCCCCCCACCTCCCATGTACACCAGTGAAGTCAGCATTCATCCAGAGGTTATCTGCTGGCCAGGCTCCAGGCCTCTCAGAACAAACCAGTGCTCCGAGGGGCCCTTTTCTGCACCAGAGAAAAAGGTCGAGTGGCTGTGACAAGTCAACATTACTTAGTGCAGAAAGAGGCAGCCACCAGCCAGAATAGAGAGAGCTGGTATGTATTTCCTCGGTGCTAGAGAAACAAGAGAACCCAGAGGAATCCTAATCTCAGCCTAGTTCCAGCCCTTCCCTGAAGTCTCCGTTAGTCAAACCTCTTGCCATCACTAACAAGAGAATCTGAGTTGGATTTTATCAGCCGGCTTTACCTTGATGGCCCGGCTCCCTCCAACACGCAAAGCGAAAACCATGGAGGCCATTTTCAGTCACACGCTCTTGAAAACCCAACCACTGTCTTTTCAACCTTGTCCTCCCGCGTTTCCATGGCGTGTTTCCTTGTAATGGATTTGTATTTTTAACCCTCGGGGAGTCAACAGCGGTTGCAAAACAGTTCTAGGAGAAGCTTTCTTACCCTTAACATAGGTCTGAAAGGATCTGTCAACTGTGAAGAGAAAATGACAACTTGGTTACATGCCTGTCACTCAAACAATTGCTCTAATTAACAAATTTGTAGTGCTTCATTAGGAGGGGAAATTAAAATGTTAGAATTTTACTTTTAAATGAAGCCCTTTTAGAGAATAATTAACCCATTTTCACACGATCAAAAGTGCCAAGCATCCCCTCCCCCACCTCACAAGCCTTGGTACATCTACGCTGACGAGCCCCAGGACAAGTTTAATCAATAGCGATTTGCCCTCCGGCAAAACCATTTGCTCACATTACACATCTGAGGAGTTTCACTGTCTTGAGCAGCCCTTCACAACCTCAGCTAAGCGTCTAAGGGAGATGGCCTTCAGACTATAGACGGCTGGACACTAATAATAACTGGGGAGAAGCGTTCTGTCCAGACTATACAATAGAAATGGGCTATTTTTAATAATTATCATTGGCAGTATTAGACATTTTAGAGAAGTTCACTATCTAGATGACCTTATTTGCAAAGCAGAAACAGAGAACAAATGTATGGATACCAAGGGGAGAAGGGGGGGGCAGTGGGAGGAACTGGGAGACTGGGATTAACACATATACACTAATGATACTATGTATAATATAGATCCCTTGGAGAAGGGAATGGCTACCCACTCCAGTGGTTTTGCCTGGAGAATTCCATGGACAGAGGAGCCTGGAGAGCTACAGTTCAAGGGGTCGCAAAGAGTCAGACATAACTAACACCTTCAATGAAATAAAATAGATATCTAACACTTTAATAAAAGCTACTAACACTTTCAAGAAAATAAAATAGGTAACTAATGAGAACACACCGTGTAGCACAAGGAACTCTACTTAATATACTGTGGGGACTTGAATGAGAAGAAGTCCAAAAGGGGGGCAACATATATGTATATATATTTCATATATACGAAGCTGATTCATCTTGCTGTGCAGTAGAAGCTGACAAAGCATTGTAAAGGAACTTTACACATTTTATAATCCAATAAAAATTAATTAAAATAAATAAAATGTAGTTCATTACACAAAAGTTCATATAAGTACACAGTTGAGTCATATTATGTATCTACCTAACTCTGGTCATCAGTTTCAGATAACCTTTGCCCTTACCTGGGGTCAAAGACAATATTGTGAAAGGTAATTTTTTTCCCCCACATTTACTATGAAGATGGATAACAATCAATGAGACAAGATTATATCTGCTGTGTAACTTCAGATCCTTTCTGAGTTGGTCTGTGTTATGAATAAATAACACAACCGAAGTGTAATGGATATTTTATTTAGCTCCAGAGCACAAGAGGTTCCTTCCCACAGGAGAAATCGAGTGGCCGGAAGAGCTGTGTGAGCTCCAGAAAGAAAAGCGCTTACTGCTTCTCCATTCAAAGTGTTTTATGGCTTGTGTGCGAGAGATGTTAGGAGATGCAGACAGAGAAGGCGGCTCGGGGGGTGGGGGACCGCCCCAGCCTGGGCTTAGACCATAAGCCACCCTCTTCTCCCAATGCAAAGTCACTCCCCTGGCGTCGCATGGCCGCAGGAGACATTCTGTTTTCTAAGAGTAACTAGCTTAAGTGTTAGTCGCTCAGTTGTCTGCAACCCTTTGTGACCCTATGGACTGTATGTAGCCGGCCAGGCTCCTCTGTCCGTGGAATTCTCCAGGCAAGAATACTGCAGGGGGTAGTCATTCTCTTCTCCAGGGTAGCTTTCTGATCCTGGGATCGAAACTGGGCCACCTGCATTGCAGACAGATTCTTCACCATCTGAGTCACCAGGAAAGCCCCTCAACCAGCATCTTCTTCCACAAAACAGAAGGGAGAGCAAAGGCAACAGGCACTCCGCTGGGCTGCCTGTCACCCTGGGGCCCAGCCCGACCTTGCACTTACCCTCGGGTCCTTTTGGAGAAGAGTGTGTGGGACCGTCCCAGGTCGGGTGGCGACATCGATCGGGTTGGATGTCTACAAAGTAATGAGACCACAGCTTAGGAAGCACATGACATGCGACATGAAACCAAGGTCTTCCTTTCATTCTAAAGGACCGAATTCAAGTGTCCTTTTTTGTTTGTTTCATTCTGGAATACAAGTGGATGGATCCATTTTCCTCTGAGACCCCAGATGCTCTTCATGAGGAACGCCCCCCCCCCCCCCCCCCTTCCCCAGGGGACCTGACCAAAGCCTTCCCTGTCCCAGCGATGACATCTCAGGGCAGAGACAGCAGAGACGGAGATGGGAGCCCGGCCCTGAAATCAATCTTCTGTGTCCTTCACAAGCCCGTCACTGTGGGTTTTTTGCTTTATCACCAAGCAGTCCAAGAAATGCTTAAGTGAACATCAGTCTAACCTGCGGGACCAGGTGCTTCTCATCAGAATAACTGAGTGTGCTTCCCAGACATTAGGCTACCTCTCTACATTTTAACTGGCAGATGATAACAAGGAATTACATTCAGTAATTACTCATTAGCAGTGGTGGGAATGGGACAAGGGAACCTAATTTGGGGACCACACAGACCTACTGTTATGTCATTTTTAAAGTAATTCTGCACCATCTTTCCCATTCCCAGAACCATTCTTAAACAGCATTAATGATAACAACCTTATCTATAGGCTTTTGTCCTCTGAATGAACAACAACAAAAAGCCCATCGCAGGCACAAGGCACTACTTTCTAGTGGGCAAAGGATTTAGAATATTTTTCACCAGGTATTTTATTTAAGAAATCACAACTTCTATGAATCCCTTCACACCAGGAAGTTAACTCGTGGAAATAAAGAGCCCTCAGTTCAGGCACCAAGCTGGCCTACAAGAAGGGGAAAAAAAGAATGGGAGAAAGAAAAGCAGTCAGCTGCTGCAGGGCTAACAATTAAGCTAGAGTTGTTAACAGCCTGATTTGCATACATATGAAGAACTCTGCTAATGAACTGCAATCTACATATTCAATCAGTAAGATGGCCTGGAAAGGCCTATTTCAACACCAGGAGAGACACTTTCTTGCCCAGATGTAGTTTTCTGTGTGATTGGATAATTGTGAGTGAGGGAAATCAAGTAATTTATAAAGTGACCTACCAGTCTGGTTGGGGATGCACAAGAGAGTTCCTGTAACCTGGTGGGGACCGACCAGGCTCTGAGAGGGTAGCCAAGAGCTGATGGGGGGAAGGAGTTTAAAAATCACCATCATTTGGTCCCGAGATGGGAGGTGCTGAGTATGGCCATCCGTAAGCCCCACCGAGGTCTGACCTGGCACAGGAGCTGCAGTTCTGTGTAGGTCCCTGGGATTTGGAAGGTGCAGCCATTCTCACCCCTAATGCTTTCTGATTTTTTTCTTTTCTAATTTTAGGGCAGCATGCCTTTGTTAGGGTAATATGAGCTCATCCTGGGAGAGACTGGCCCCAAATTTGTGTTTGATCTTTGAAACGAGATGGAAAGGAAACTGAAATCACACAGCAAAATTTCCTACTTTACAGTCTGAGAATGGCTACTAACTAAGAAATACCTTTCTGAAAATCAAGTAGGGGCTGTGACAGATGTAAAGTCACAAAAGAGGAGGAGTATTCTGAGAACTACGCCTTCGTTTTGGCCCTCGGAGATGGAGACCGAGAGGAGGGAGCATCACTGGCTAGGCAGAGAGGAGCTCTGTTGTTACGAAGGGTGGAAGTGAAAGTCCGAGTCGCTCAGTCCTGTCCAACTCTCTGGGACGATGTGGACTGCGGCCCGCCAGGCTCCTCTGTCCGTGGGATTCTCCAGGCAAGGCTACTGGAGTGGATTGCCAGGCCCTCCTCCAGGGGATCTTCCCGAGCCAGGGACGGAACGCAGGTCTCCCGCACTGCAGGCGGATTCTTGACCATCTGAGCCACCTAGGCAAGCCCCTCTAAAGGGCACAAGGTTCATTTATCTCACGCTAGGATGGCAGTCTTGACCTTGGGAAGCTGACCCTGGCAGCAGGGTTGGAAGCTTCAGAGAAGGCAGAAAGGGAGGAGAAAATAAGAAAGCACTAACCTCCACCTGGAGGTAGACTCTATCTGCAGACAGAGGGGACTGAGGAACGAAATGAAGGAGAATGAACACAGTGAAAAGGATACGATTTTAGTTTGGAACCTTTTCCCTCCCTGCTAGTCCAATCAATAAGGCTCAGCTTTGCATCTCTGCTAATCATGGACATCCCTCAAGGATAAATAACTTGATGCACATACATCTGACATTTCATGTATTTTCTAATCAGAAGCTTATGTCCACAGTTTTGGTGAAAAAACAAAAAATATATATCTAGTGTTTTTTTTTTTTTTTTCTTCTTACAGAGCACAAGAAATCCTAGCTCCATTGAGATGACATGGGTAGTACAGGTTAAAAATTGAATTCTGACTGAGGTTTATGACTAGATGGACTAGGAGAAAATATTCACACTCTAATCCCAGTGGTCCATTTGGATGGAAAAATTAGTCACTGGCAGGTAAGAGGATGGGAAGCTACCCACCCGCCTTAGCCCGAGGCTCCACTTACAAGTTCGAAGGTGTTGTTTTCACTGTGAGGTTTCTTACCTTCGGCTGAAAAGCTCCTTGCAGTGACCCAAAAGGGCCGGTGGGCGGAATCATAGGGGGGATGCCCGATACAGCAGGAGGATAAGAATGGAAGAGCTATGGCCAAAGATGGAGGGGGGGAGAGAAAAGATTTTAGTAGGAGGCAAATGATACATTCACATTCCCTTCCCACAGAAAGATGTCCACATTAGCTAGCCAAGTCATCTCAGTTTGATGCCATTAGTCATAAGAAGCCACAATGAAATGATCTCACAGATGTGCCATGAATACTTAACTTAAAAAGTTAAAAGTAGTTCAGAACCAATCAGCCAGCAAATGATGTCCCAGATGAGGCCATCATTAGAAAGGGAGTTTTTCTAATTATTAATTGTTAAATCGGATAGAAGTCCTAAATGGTTGGAGACTTTAATGCATATCAAAAACAGGAGGGGGTGCTGAGCCAAATAAGATGCCCAGAAAATTACAAGTTAATTAGAAAATAGGAAAAAGGGGAAAAAAAGGAAGACAAAAGGAAGCAAGTCTTTATGGATTCCAAGATTTTACACCATTAAAACTCAATTAGTACTTTTAGATTTTTTAATAGTTTTGAGGAAATGGGAAAATATGCACAGTTCTTGCTTCATTAGGTTGTTCTGATAAGTGGCAGTTCCAAGGACAATTTAAATTATCTAAAACGATGACAAATATTTGTGGAAGGGGAAAATAAAATGACTCGAGTACACTTTCAATGGGGCCACACGTTTTCCTGTAAGATGAACGTAAAATCACTGGAGGCCATTCCAGATAAGCCCTGGACATGCCAGTCTGCCCACTCAGTGGGGGGAGCAGGAGGATTCTGAATTTAAAGTATGGATTTTCTTGAATTAGTAGTTTATAGAGGACACAATGGAGGAAGGAAATACACAGAAGACAATGCAGACACATCTTTTCCTCCACCTAAAAATATATCGTTTCTGGAGAATCTATCACTCTGGTTCCATTTACTTTGAAAAACTCACCACAGAGATACATTTTAGTGATGTCCTGCCCTTATGGTTGCACAATATGTCAAAAATACGAGAATAATTCAAGCTTTCCCTAATGATGTGTTTATGTGAGCTATTTCTAGGTAACAGCTGAAATCCACTGGTAATTTCACAATCGGGTCTGTTTTCAAAGCACGTACTTTTTCCGTTGGTCTTAATTTCATTTTGCTCCCCTCAATGATGCAGCAAAGTTTTTCAGACTAATTGATATTGAACTAAATCCACTTAAACAGTGATTGCAAACCAAGTGCCCTCATTTAAAACTACTTTTAAGTCTAAAATTGCGTTTTAGATACTTGAGTGTATTGTATCTTAACTCCCCTTTGTAACATCCTCATCTGCAGAGCAGGGGAGACTAAGCACTTCATATATTACCCACTGTAACTAATAATATGAAATAACTCTCTCCCCGTACACTGTGTGCAGCGGAGTAATTAAATACATCACACTAAAACACTCAAATTTCTATTACTCTGCCTCCAAGTGGGTATTTTTCCTTTAATGTTTTCAATTTAAAAATTGGATGTTCTCACCATTTTCCTTTTCTGACCCTCTCTGAATAGAGCATTCCACCCCTCGAGTAAAAATCTGAAGTACTTGAGTAATAACACCGGAACGTTTCAAAAAACTCAGGCCTGCAGGTTTATCCTCCAGCTTACATCTAGGACTCTCTGTGGAATATGTTTATGCCGAGACACTGCATGGTGTCCGAGGAAGTAAACTGAGCTACCAGTAGAACAGCTAAACTTTTTCTGAAGATTTTGTTAGCCGCTCCTTAATTTAATTTAGCAAATACAGACAAAGGACAGAAATCTGGTTGTTATTATTAAGGGTGGTACCATTCATAAAATAGATGCAAAGAGAAAACCCGTGGCTCTACTGGATTTTGCATGTCCACTTACAAAAATGCTTTTATGTCATTAATTCTGAGCAGAGCAGTGTCTAACACTCGGGGAACCCAGGCACTTAGATAGATACTTTTTCCATAGAGACTCCCCTCGAGCCATTTCCGAATGTCTCTCCATAACCAGTTCTTAGTTGATTTCTAATACTGTCTAGCCTGGACTTCTCAGCTAATTCCTCAGTTTAGGACTAACACAGTGTCTAATGATCTAGTTGAAAGTATGAATGAATTCACAGGGTTGGCTGATCTATTAAGTGGTCCTCCATTTAAACCATAAGGTAACACTATCCAAAAATGAGAACAAAAATTGTTTACGATGGTGAACCGACATGGCTACGAGCAGTTATTAAACGTCTTTCTTTCCAGTTTCATTCAAAAAAATATATAAATAAACCATTGAGCAAAGAAACTTGCAAAACTTCAGGTAAAAATGATGCAGTATACACTCCATAATCAAAATATCATGGTAAGATATTCAAAGTTTCTGTTATAAAAGAAGCTCTCATAAGTAACTGAACATGTAACTTCAGTTGGCGCCAGTTTAGGTTCCAAAACATTCGCTTAAAATCGCATGAAACAACTTTTATTAAAGAACAAAGAATGAGTTTAAAGAGAAGAAAAATCATGCATGTAAGACCTTCTTTCATTTAAATCATATTTTTAACGAGTTGGCACGAGCTCAGGAAAATAATGCCAGCCACGTGGAAGAGGGATCAACGGTCTAGAAGAAATGAAAATCTGCTTTTTGAAGTCATGAGTCAAAAAAACACGGTACTTTCTTTGGAAGACATAATTCAAGATGAACTCTGGGAACTCTGTGTGTTAATAACATCTCTACTGAGGACTGAAATCTGTGATTTCAGAAGCTCCTAAAACTCTAACACCTCCAACAAAGTGGATGCCCCACTTGGCAGGACTTTAAAGTCTGGCTCATGACCTTTTGATTCAGAAGATGATACTGCATCTTTACCAAAAGCAAACGTCACAAAAGCAAGCATCCAAAGTGACGAGGAGCAATGGGAGTTCTTGCAAAGATGGTTAAGGAAGGCTGCGAGTCATTGACTGATCGGTGGCGAGAGCATGGAAATGGAAAAGCGGTTACATTGAATGGGTAGCATGGTAACTCACACTGTGCCGGTAGAATGGGTCAACTTTTGTAGGGTATTTGTCAAACTGCAAAGGGATCAAAGCAAAAGCTAGTTACTTAGAGAAACTACATTTCTATTGACTGCTTCAGCGGAGGCGGCCCCAAGGAAGCCTCTCTGTTGTCAGGCAGGCATCAGATTCCGTGACCGCAGTGTATACGAAATCATTCAGAGTTCCTGAGTCTCTCTGACCAGAAATCAACAGGAATGGAAAGTCAAAGTGAAAACCCATTCAGAGCATTTCAGGTGTGACTACACTAGAGCGGCTTTCTTTCTAGACTTTATTTAGAGACGGGCAGGAACTAAGCATCTGAACTAGAGAGGAGGCAGTTGTTCAGATAAATCAGAGAGAAGTGAGCACTGGCTCTGATTTATCCAGAGAATTCCCTCTGTCTTCATCTTTGCTTTGGCAGAATGGTATGTTCAGCTGTTCTTATGTTACCCCCTAGTGGGGGACAGGGCGGCCTGGTGTGCTGCAGTCCGCGGGTGTAAGATGTTGGACAGGACTTAGTAACTGAACAACAACAATGATCTCCCCCACTGCCCTCTGCTGAGTACAGAGCAACTCGGGCTTGGCCTTCGAACATTTCTTTCAAGCAGGAAAGAGTATATACCATGATTTCTTCTAAATAATGTCCTCACCCTGTGCTGTAACTCCCATCAATTAGATTTAACTTGTTTGTGAAACGGCTCACTCAGAGTGGTATAAACTCCTTCCCCATATAAACAGGTCCTTAAAAATATAACTGTGGAAAAGTCGAGCTCATCCAAAAAAAACAGATGCAGGATTTATCCAAGGAAAAATTTTTGGTCCCAAGGCCTCACCGCTAACGTTCTCCTAAGTGAGGTTTATAAAATAAACTTTGAAATGTGTATTTTTAAAAAACTAAGTTGAACAAAATGGGGGAGAAGGGAGGGAAGAGAGGATGCAAAGTTCAGTGAATCACGAAATTCAAATCCTCACAATGCCTGTTCTCATTGCCTTCAATCAAGTATTTCCTGAAATATTAAAAAATAAGTAAAATTCTAATCGTCAGTTTGGACACGCATCCATCTCAGACCAGTTAGCATCATAGTGTGGTGCTGTTCCTTACAGCTCCTAAGTTAAAAGTCAACCCTCACTGGCCCCCACTCCACCCCTGGCACGTTCGTCCCAAGCCACGGCCAAGACCACGTCGCTCCCCGCAGTGGTCCCTCTTACCACCGCGCTGTTTGGACCGCTTGCTGCAGGGCACAGCAGCAGACAGGGGGCGCTGTCTCACGAGACGCGAGAAATGGAACACTTCCGACAGAGCGGGTTTAGAAAACCATCCGAGAGAGTGGGTGGGGGAACCCAGGGCCGTCCAAGTCTCCTACCGGCCCTCTCCCTTCCAGACTTCCCAGGATTCTGTGAGCGTTTATCTGCCAGCGCAAAACACCGGCAGATACATTTTTAGATCTGGTGGTCATTCCCCAAGATGTCCCCCAAACCTAAAATCCCCCGTAAGAAGTTAACTACCGACACATTGGATGTGACCGCCTTGGGGAGCATCTGGAATACAACCCACCCCCAGCGCTAAGAATAACGGGTCAGAAAAGAGCTCCCACTTCAGGCCCCGCGTCAGTGCCACCTGGAGCCGGGCGCATCCCAGAGAGAGACGGCAAGGCCACGGGAGCCCCCCAGGCGGTCTGCTGCGCCCGGACGGCCCGCCAGCCCCCGGGGCTGCGGGCGGAGAGCGGCGCGCGCTGCCGGCCTGGCCCTCCTGCGCCGTACGCACCATGGGCGGGGCCGGCGTCGGCATGATGGCGGCGGGCGGCAGGGCGTGCGGGAAGGGCGTGAAGGTGTGCTGGTGCGTGTGCTGGTGCGTGTGCTGGTGCTGGTGCTGGTGCTGGTGGAACTCGGTCCGCAGGTAGGGCGGGGGGCCCAGGGAGGCCCCGCGGTCAGCACTCTGAGACGCCAAAAAACGCGTGTTCAGCTCCTGGCGCAAGATGTCTTGCTCTGGAAAAGAAGAAGAGGCAGACGTTGACGCCTTTTCCCGGGTGGTCACTTCCTCCAAGAGCAGGACATCCAAGGGGCTCACTACGGAGGGCTCCAGGCCGGGCCTTTGTGGAGAGGGGCCGCCAGCCAGCCAGAGGAGGCTAAGGCCCAGTCAACAGCCTAGCTCTGTTCTCTGTCCAGGCTTTCGGGGACGAGGGGTCCACCAGTGCCGTGCGCATACAGGGTCCAGGCTGAACGGCCAGAGGTCAAGTTTCAGCTCTTCTCGGGGCAGCTGAGTGACCCAGGGCATTGCCCATCACCATCTGTGTCTGTTTCCTCATCTGTCAAATGGGGAACAACACATTGCCTGTGCTGTGGGGGTTTGAGGGTTAAAGAAATGAACATTTTTAAGTGCTTCCTCATGCCCTCTTCCCAGGGTAAACCTCTGCTCTATAGCTCTCTGTACTGGTGGCAAAGCTTGGCCACAGTGGACCCGAAGTTGGGACACTTGGCTCAATTAATACAGGTGAGGAGCAAAGAACCCAATACCTAACCCTAAGTGTGTCTTTAAAAATCTGGGCTATGTTGCCTCAAAAAGTGCATTTTCCCCACCCAAGGTAGAAGGCCTCATTTAATCGCTAGTCGCTCAGTCGTATCTGACTGTGACCCCACCAGGCTCCTCTGTCCAACGGATTCACCAGGCCAGAATACTGGAGTGAGCTGCACTGCCTTCTTCAGGGGATCTTCCTGACCCAGGGACTGAACTCGGGTCTCCCACATTGCAGGCAGAGTCTTTACCTGCCTAGCCATCAGGGCAGCCCTTTTTTGACTAAAACAAGTCCCTTAAGCCACGATGTGACTTAAGATCCTGGCCTGAAACAGACATGGGGTGTGGAGAGCTTCTGTCATGCCCATAGGGCCCAGACAACCTGTGCTTTACTGCCCAGCGGGCAGACCTGGTCAGAAAAGCCTCATGCCTACAAAGTTCTCTCTGGCAGAATCCCCTGGATCGTTACAGGTTGGGATGGGGGCTGCTGGTACATTTTCTGCAGACTCTCAGCCCACTGGGGACTGGAGGAAGAAGACAACTATAAAGTGGACCACGGGGAGTGGCTCAAACCTAATCACTGGGGACAAACAGGGGGCGGGGCCTCAGGAAGGGAGAGCGGGAGCACGGAGAAGCCAGGCCAGCTCCTCCCTCCTACCTGAGTAAGTGCTCCCGGCCGGGTGTCCGGGCACCTGCAGACTCCCAGATGTCAGAGGTGGAGGAGGAGGCAAAGCAGTGGGAGGGGCAAACATATTGGGGTGATGTGAGTGTGCGGGGGGCTGGAGGGTGGGCGTGAAGCTGTGCAGGGGGCTGTGGTTGGGCAGGGACAGGGGGAACGGGGAGGCCGAGGGGTGGTGGGAGATGTGAGGGGGGGCGGGCTGAGTCTTCGCTGGAGTGCTGCTTCTGCTACTGCTGTTGGAACACCAAAAAATAAAAAAGAAGAAGGAAAAAAGGGGGTCAGTAACCAACTCTCTTAAAAACAAAACAGAGCCATTTAACACGTCTCCTCTCGCTCCTTCGTCTTCGCAGGTCCCCGCCCTGCGCACACAGCGCCTCTGCTGAAATCGCAGCTCCTCTGAACCGGCCCCACAGCTGTGGACACAGTGAACAGCAGCTCCTGCTCCCAGCTGCCCCCCATCGCCCTGTCCAGAGCTGCCCTTCATACCCTGTGCCAGCCACTCTTCCTACAGGGGCCACGTCAATGGAAACGAGCAAGGTGGTGACCTGGGCTCGCCAGGTCTGTCTGCTCCATCTTCTGTGAAGAAGCACAGGGAAGGGGGAAGCAGGGAGCCCGGGCGCCCCATCTCCTCCACGGACTGGAGGCCACGAAAGATGGGCCCGGCCCGCGGAGGCGCTTCCTTCTGTCACAGACAGGAAAGAGCAGGGCCCTCAGCCCCAGGCACCAGGCTGACACATGGAAAATGCTCCCCCAGCCGTGAGTGCGCGCTGAGCACAGCCCGGGGAGACGCGGCCGTGGGCCCCACCGCGCCCTGCACCTGGCCTCCAGCTCCCTTCCCTTCCTCCTGTGCTGCCGGTCAACCTTCCCTCTATGATCTGGCAAAAGCAAGACACAAGAGGCCTGGCTCCCCATGGAGGAACGCCTCTCCTTTCCTAAACCCTGCATCTTTCTCCTGTGTATCTGTGACCCACCTGGCGGAAGTCACCACGGAAACTCCTCCAACCAGACCACTCCTTGGTGTCCAGGCTTCCGCCCACCAGGAGGTGCGGAGAGATGTTGAGAGGGAGGCAAACGGCTTCCCTTCTAAGACTCCCTTAATGTTCTGGGCATCTCCCCTGGTTTCCCTTTCCTGCCTCCAACCCGGGAGCCAGTGGAAGGTCCCAGGCCCAGCGCCCTGGACTCTCCCTTGAACCTTCTCCCCGCTGTAGTCACCCTCAGGAGCCTCCGCAGATAGTTGAGGTCTCCACCATGTGCTTACCACCCAACCGATCCTCAACCCAGTCCCACCCCATCTCCTCCCCAGAGACCGTCTCCCTGCGCCTCGGACCCCTTCCCTGTCTTCCGTGCCTGCCTGGCGGAGAACACGGTGACAGAGATTCCAACGGGAACCCCGGTCCCCATGGGAGCCCCCGCGCCCACTGCCACCTGCCCGTCCCACCGAAGATGACCGACGCCGGGGGGTGGCTCACCTGAGGCTGTTGAGGCTCAGGCTGCTGCTGTTGTAGGCGGACAGAGGCTGGGGGAGGCTCTGGGCGGAGGGGTGGGCCTGCGCGGGCGGGAGGGCCTGGGGCGGCAGCGGCCCCGGGGACTGTAGACGCGGGGTCCGGAGACGGTGCTCGGGGCTGGGGCTCCGCCTGGGGCTGGGGCGGCGGCGGCGGGACCTGAGGGCGCGCGTCCTTCAGCACCACGGGCTCGAACAGGGGCTCTTTGCCGCAGTCCTGGCTCTTCTCCTGGCTCCGCTCTAGACCCGATACCTTGGGGACAATGGGCCCCGCATCGTGGCCGTCGTGGTGGGGTAGCGCGCCGACGCCGAGCTCCGGATCTGTGCGGGGGAGCGGAGAGAAGAGCGAGGCAGACGGTTAGTGAGCGAAGCTGATCCCGGGCTGGGTCACCTGTGCCCAACGACACGATAGGTCAGGTCCTAGAAAGGTCCACCAGCCAGATAAGGCTGCCTTCCAGAAAGTGGTTGAGGCCATCAGAGTCTACAAATAAATGTTTCCCTTAATCTTGACAAAGCAAGATTATGCAGTGAAATTCACAAACAGTAGATAACAAATCGATTCACCCCTTTTAAAACAAATACAGTTCTTTAAACAAAATCATTCATTTATTTGGCTGTGCTGGGTCCTAGTTGCCGCCCCTGCAACCTTTACTTGTGGTATGTGGGATCTAGTTCCCTGACCAGGGATCGAATCTGGGCCCCCTGCATAGGGAGCTCAGACTCTTAGCCACTGGGCCACCAGGAAGTCCCCAAACACAGTTCTTGACTATACAAAGGAGAAGTGTTTTCAGTAGGACATGAGGCAAATATTATTTAGCCCCACAAACGTTTCTTCTCTGCCTTGCCTCCTCCCCCCTTTGCATTCTGACTGATGAAGCACGCCTGACATTTGGAGACATTTCTGCTGAGCAACAGCTAAATGTCTGGTCAAAGGTCAGGCCTCCTACGGCTCACTAAGGATTCAACCGTTTGAGATCGAAGGAGCAAACATGAATACAGACCAACTGACCGTCAACTACACAGGCTTGAGTTTTTAAAGAATTCCCTCTTGACCACAGGAGGGGTCCTTAGCCAGGTGAATCTGGACCTTGAGACCAAGCAGGATGGGAAATGTAAGTAAAATTCTACAGTAACTAATGATACCTAGATAACAGATGCTCCTGTATGAATTTAAGTGATGTACTTCCCTCCAAAGGTCAAAAGACCCATGCCACATCTAGTATATGGGTACCCTGATGACCCCATAAGTTAAACTCCATACAATTCTCTAACAGAATAATGAGAGACAAATATGGTATTGCATATAAAGAGGTGGTTCTATGGTAAAGAATCCGCCTGCCAATGCAGGAAGTGCAGATTGGATCCCTGGGTTGGGAAGATCCCCTGGAGGAGGGCATGGTAACCCACTCCAGTATTCTTGCCTAGAAAATCCCATGGCTAGAGGAGCCTGGCGGGCTGCAGTCCACAGGGTTGCAGACAGTTGACCATGACCGATCATGCACATCTTTGAGGGGGTGGGGGGGAGGCAGGGATTATCTTGCCCACATTTTTGCACTTAAAAAAAAAAAAATCCATCCTTTTCTATTATTACAAAGCTTAAAAACAGGAAGAGAATAGATCATGACATTCTCTAAAATGGTGTATTTCAGGTACTCCTAAATGAATTACTTTGGGCATGACCTTCCTCTTCACATCTTCATGTTATTAAGTGTGAAAAATACATGGTATTCTCACTGGTCCTATTAATGTCTGTTGATGTCCTATTGGGTGTATACACTTGTCATGTTTTCTTCCCTGAAATTTGCATCAAAGCAATCCATTATTTTCAGTGTTCTTTTGGTAAAACAGATGAAATCTGTAACATGCACAAGAGCAGAAACAAATGGTGGGTTTATAAACAAACCACATGGTTAGCTATTATGAACTCAGCTATCCTTCAGTCCTGCAGACCAGTGTGGAACAACTGCACTAACAGGATGCCAAGAAAGAGACCCCTCTTCACGTAATTCAGGCACGAAAGGATAAAGGTTTGGATGGATCTGGTGAAAAGGAACTCTAGACTTCTGACATCCTACGCACACACATTTTTTTCCAGTGCTGTCTTCAGAACTTTCCTAGGCAGATCTTTGCTTATGAAAAGCTGATGTGTTATGAATTTCCAGAACCTGAGGGCTGAGAGAGAACAGGAAGTTCCTGATGTGGACACAGAGCCCCTTCAGCCATAAGAACTCCCACATCACAGAGGAAGACCCTTCATCGGCAGACACCCAGATCTGAGGATGGTGGTGCTGCTGCTTTTTCACTGCTTTTTTTTTTATCACTTTCACAAGATTTTCCATAGGAAGCAATTATACAAGTTCACTAAAAACCACAGGCTTCACAGGCTGCAGGCTGCTTAGTCAGGCCTGGGGCAGAAAGCACTAACACCCAGGAAATCCTAAGGGGATGAAATAAGAGAACCTCCTCCACGAGGTCCTACGTGCATAAGCAGGGACTCTTCCTGTTCTGACAGCCGAGGACTGTGATGCTTTTGTGACAAATACGGCAAACATACAAAATGGAATATACCCCATCTTTTTGCACTGCTTTGTTCTCTCTGGACAAGGATGTTGCTGTTGTTTAGTTACTAAGTCATGTCTGACTCTTTGTGACCCCATGGACTATAGCCTGCCAGGTTCCTCTGTCCGTGGGATTTCCCAGGCAAGGATACTGGAGTGGGTCGCCATTTCCTTCTCCAGGGGATCTTCCCGAGCCAGGAATCGAACCCGGGTCTCCTGCATTGCAGGCAGACTCTACCACTGAGCCACCTGGGAAGCCTTCCAGGACGAGGATAGTGACAAATAAATACGTTAAGTATTTTCCATCTTGTTAGGTTACATTCAAATTCATGACCTCCCTCCAAAAATCAAGGTCTAAAGTTTCTCTCAGACATAAAAGAAAATTTCCTTCCCAAGGGACACCACCTCAGTTTACTTAGGCCAGTAAGGAAGTACAACAGAAACACACAGATAAGCATTTTATTCCATCTAGCTTGACTATATTTATCTCTTGTTCTTTAATCGATGAGCCTCTAGAATTTGGACAACACAGCTGAGTCTGCAGCAGGCACCCTGCAGGCTTTGGCTCAGTTCCCAAGGCCCCATAAAGGCAAACCGAGGCGGTTCTTACCTCTACTGTCCCACTGTCTGAGGACCAACCCAAACCCAGCTGGCGTCAGGAGTGGTGCCGAGACTGGCATCGCTGCCATCCGTGATGTTCAACGAGGTACACAGGCAAGACCAAAATCTTTCTAGCAAACTCTACACATTTGTAGGGAACCATCTGTGAGGAATGACTTAGGGAATCAAGAGGCACAGAATTTTGGAAGAAGACCAGAATCTGGGAGACCATCCCAGCACTTCTCAAACTTTAATGTGCATATGAATCCCCTGGAAATCGGACTCAAGTGCAGGTTCAATAGCTTGTGTGTGTGTGGGGGGGGGGGCGGGGAGGGCGTGCAGCAGGATGAGTGGGGCTCCAGAGTCCACCTTTCTGAGAATTTCCCAGGTGATGCTGACACCTGGACTGTTCTGTGAGTAGTAGGGGTGTTATCTAACCCTCTGACTAGATGGGGGATAAGCCTGGAGAAGTTAAGGAAGTTGCTTGTTGTTTAATAAACCAGAGGGCAGAGTTCTAGTCCCAACTCTGCCACCACCAAGTGCTTCTTCTCTGATTTACACAATGTTGCCTTCTAAGAAGCAAAATATCCTGAAACAAAGCAGGTAATGATGAATCCAGGATTCGGTTACAATGTTTTAAGTACGGCCAGATAGTGAAAAGGGTTAGGAAAGCGAGAGAGGATTGCTGGAAGAGAGAGGATTGCTGGAAGACGGCCCTTCGGCTCAATCTGAAAGCTGTCATCAATCCATCAGTGAGGGTGCTGCAGCCTATGAGCAAGGCAGCAACAGGTTGGAAGGCTGGTGAGAACTATGGGGCTGAAAGTTTTACGACCCCCATTTACATGGATCCGGGAGGCACGGATTAGGCATCATGCATTTTTGTGGCTAATCAGTAATGCATTTCCTCTTCCTTTCAATTATTCAATAAATGCATCTTCCCAGTTAAGCTCTTTCATCCTGACAGTCCATTTATCTTACTGAGCTTCTCCAAAACTGGCAAGAACACATAAAAAAAGAAAAAGGTTTTTTTTTTGGGGTGGGGGAGGGATATTGCTCAGTGTGCTCTGAATTTACCAAAGGATGAAATGTGCTGAGGCTGAAGGAAATGAGAACGTGTGCAAATTGACTAGTCTTATTTAGAAGTCTTATTCCATTTGGGAGGTTTTAAAATTTCTCTTTGTGTTTGTAAAAATAACATTATGCTTACAATAAAGGATATGCAAATTTGAATTACACTGTACAGTTAAAAGGCTGAATGTACTGCGTGTAAATTATATCTCAACAAACTTGACTCAAGCACAATACATTTATTTTTTTAAATTTGAGGGTAGAGTAGGAAAAATGTGCTTGAGCTGGCTACAACTTGGATACAAATTCTCTGGGGAAAATGGGCTTGCTTTTAGTTTACTGCTGCTGCAAAGTCACTTCAGTTGTGTCCGACTCTGTGAGACCCTATAGACGGCAGCCCACCAGGCTCCCCAGTCCCTGGGATTCTCCAGGCAAGAACACTGGAGTGGGTTGCCATTTCCTTCTCCAATGCATGAAAGTGAAAAGTGAAAGTGAAGTCGCTCAGTCGTGTCCGACTCTTCGTGACCCCATGGACTGCAGCCTACCAGGCTCCTCCATCCATGGGATTTTCCAGGCAAGAGTACTGGAGTGGGGTGCCATTGCTTTAGTTTACTAGTTTAATATAAACCCTGTCACCTTTGTGGAGGGTGATGTGGCAACACTTACCCAAAAAACTAAGCAGTTCCTTTGACCTGGCAAATAACAATTTGGTCTACAGACACAGTGAAACAGTATCAGGATGTGAATCACATGTTTGGAAACAACTCAAATGTAATCATTAGGGTTACATAAATATTTGATACATCTATACAGTGGAACCGACTGCAACTGCAGAAATAAATGAGGAGCTACATATGTACAATGTAGAGCATACCCTAGCTTTTATGAAAAATGAAGAAAAATAATATATATTCATTATTATTTTATATCTAAAGAAGCTCTGGAAGAATACCCAAGAAACCAATAGCCTTGGATTACCTGCTTAGGGTGGAGAAGGAAATGGCACCCCACTCCAGTATTCTTGCCTGGAATCCCATGGACAGAGGAGCCTGGGAGGGGGGCTGCAGTCCATGTGGTTGGCAAAGAGCTGGACAC